AAGATATAGTGGGGATGACGCAAAACGATTTTCAACTATTCTCATTGTTGTGGTAGGATCCACCTAATTTACATAGTGGAGTACCGACCATATAAATATGGGTTGGTACCGGGAAGACGAGGGAAGGAACAAGAGATCCAATCCAGAGACTCTGCCCGACTGCGATTAAGTCAACCCATTCTACAGGAACGGTATTTCCAAAGAATATACAAAAGACTATATGTAAATATTGTGTACACTTTCTTGTTTCAATACATTTTGTTCTAAGTACATTTTGTGTTGTATTATTATTCCATGCATTAGTCAAGTTTCAACACAGTAGATAAAAATTGACATTGCGTTTAAATTTTTTGAAATCAAAGTTGGCTGAAAAGCCTGAAGCCTGAAGAGAGTTCCACAGTTTTGTGAGTTAAGGAGTTTGTTTGGCGAGTGTTTGTTTTTTTTATTATAATCATTTCACCCCATGCAAGGCAGTAGAGCCACTAAGACATAAGGGGCTACATGATGTAAATCAATAAGAAAATAGTGTATATAAATAGTGTATATAATGCCTCATCTCACAAATATAGACAGATAAAAAAGTTTATATCAATTCATTTTTCTTTATGTTCTTGTTGTGGTACGATCCACCTAATTTACATAGTGGAGTACCGACCATATAAATATGGTTGGTACCGGGAAGACGGAGGAAGATAGTAGTTAGAAGAAGATGCAATCCAGAGACTCTGCCCGACTGCGATTTAGTCAACCCATTCTGCAGGAACAGCCTTCCCAAGAATATACCAAAATTAACTGTAAATATTGTGTACATTTTCCTTGTTTCAATACATTTTGTTTACGTACATTTTGTGTTGTATTATTATTATTCCATGCTTATCCAAGCTTCAACACTCATTCTAGCTGAATTACTCTAAAGGGTCCTTCAGTGATTCATACGACAAATGGTATCAAGGTGGCTAAACATCTTATCTGAAAACCTGGAAAATTAATTAGTTCAATGTTCGTTTGTTTTTCTGTTTTTTAGATATTAAACATTTTGTGGGATAGCCAATTATCCCATGCTGTTACACGATTTGGACAATTTTGCTGTTACACCCGGTTTATATATATTTAACTGATTATAAGTCAGTGTCGGGTCCGATCGGGGAAGGGGATGGTTGTATTAGAAAATGCTCTATGCACAATCCGATAAATTAAATGTGCAGAGCTTTAAATGTTAAAAATATTTCGGGACCACTTACGCTACCATGGTTTCAACCATTGAGTTATCTTAAACCGGTAGATCAGTAGAGACCTTAATGCGTGAAACTATACTAGCGAAATTTAATGTTGAAATTTTATTTTCTCGTGAGATTTGGTATGTTTTTCTTCAAAAAATATATTGCTGGTAATATTTTTTCAATAATATATTGCTGGTAATTTTTTTTATTTATTCATTTCTTATTAAGAAAATATATTGCTGGTAATTTTTTATCTAGTCATTTTTTATTATGAAAATGTATTGCTGGTATTTTTTTTATTTATTTATATTTTATTATGAAACTGTATTGCTGGTATTTTTTATTTATTTATATTTTATTATGAAAATGTATGGCTGGTATTTATTTATTTATTTATTTTTATTATGAAAATGTATTACTGGTATTTTTTTTATTTATTCATATTTTATTATGAAAATGTACTGCTGGTATTTTTTTATTTATTCATATTTTATTATGATAATGTATTGCTGGTATTTTTTATTTATTTATATTTTATTATGAAAATGTATTGCTGGAATCATTTATTTATTTATTTTTTTATTATGAAAATTTATTGCTGGTAATTTTTTCTAAAGTATTTTTATATTTTCCTGTTTTGACCCTAGTTTGTCCTTAATTGGGGGCCCTAAAATTTGCTGCCCACCTGTATCACCACGGACCTGGGAACAACAATAATTAAGAGGTGGTTTCAGTCTCCTCAAAAAAACCTCCCGTTATGAGGCCTTGCTTGGACCTGGAACTGCGGGAACAATAGTAAAAAGAAATATATTTATACTCAGTATAAACAAATAGCATTGCCTGAATCAAATTAGTTAATGATGATCATGCCTGATAATTTTACAGAAGCTCCTGAGTTAGGAAATTGGAAATTTATTTTAGTCTAAACCTAAACAAATCCGCTTTTTCATTAGTAACTTAATATCTACTCATATTACAGCTGTTTTATTCTGATTACACAAGAGACTGATCGTACTTGCCAAACACTCCGGAAATTGAGTTCTCTTCATAAAGGTTTTGTTTTTGCAGTCTGGTTTGAGGGTCTGTCGAAGAAAATCCGACCCTAACAGCTGTTGGAATTTACATGAAAAAGGAAAGGAAAAAAAGCACACACACACACACATATATAGGACTTGCCACATATATAGGCTCTAAATCATCTTTCTTACCTCATATATATATAAAATAGCAACAATATTTATGCACGTGGGCTTGGTTGATAATACGCTTTTTTCACAATTGTAGTGCATTATTATTTTTTTTTTTTCATTTCTCTGGAACATCACATGGTTGATCTGTGTATTTTCCCCGATTACAAATCGATGTCTAAGCAAATGTTTGCAATCGATTTCAGTGTGGACACAGAGATTCTCATGACGATATGAAACCAATATTGGAGGATGTGATCAAATCTATAGCCAAATCGATATACAGATGATTTGAAGACATTGATCAAGCCAAAGTTTGAAGCTAGGAGAGAAGAGTTATAACTCAAATAATATAAGAAAGAACATATATCTACCGGGTGTAACAGAAAAATTTTCCAAATCGTGTAACAGCATAATTATCCACCCCACAAAATGTTTAATATCTAAAAAAAAAACATTAGGCTAATTGAGTTTTTCCCACACATTTTAAGATAAGAGATTTAGCTATCTTGACACCATTTTTCATAAGAATCAATGAATAACCTTTTGAGATATTTAACTCAAAAGAGAGCAGATTAAAATTGTTTTGTATCAGTCCCACTGTATGCCAAATGAGCAATGGTGAGAGGAAAATATCATTCAAGTCTTCGGTAATTGTACCGACATTCATTTTATAGCTTCCATCTTCAAAGTTCATTCAAGAACCATCAAGAGAATGGTGAATAAGTTTAAAATGGAGGAACAGTACAGATGAAAACTGTATCACAAGGTCACAACATGAACAGGGGTCATCATTTCAACTTAGAGCTAAAGAGATCAATTTAGAAAAAAATCCACTGAATTCATAAGACGTTTGGAACGTTAGAGAAGAGTTTCAGCTCTGACAGTCCAAATAGCTTTGGAAAAAGAGTTGAGAATGAAATCGTACGTGAGACCTTTGAGGACAGAATGTTAGAAAGTTAATGAAGGCGAAGATCATCTTGAATACGTTGGAAAATGATTCTGGAATTATATATATATGTATATATATATATATATTCGAAATTTATTTTTATTCTTCAAGAACCTCCGATCCTTAGCTATGATTGATTAATGATGAACATATCATTTTTGTTTATGAGATATTTCATCACGATTCTTTTGTTAAGCTTGAAGAGCAACTATACATTCTTATTGCTCGAAATAGAGTCCAGTAGTGTTATAAAAATTCCAGTAAGATACCTTTAATCATTTCTAAGATACAACGGTTCAAATCTTAATCTAACAACTGTATAATTTTGGTATTACCCGATTTGTAAAATTTTGCTTTTACATCCGGTATATATATATATATATATATATATATATATATATATATATATATGAAGTCGTCAAAAAACAAACGTTACGAAAGTTTTTCTCTTTTTTTTATATACACAATTCCCTTTCATAATAAAATAAAATAAATTAAATAAATAAATCTCCATAGACAAGCAAACTAGACGATGGCCAATACATCTTCCGTTTCATTTTTGACACCCCCACCTTTCCCCGACTTGACACCTTGAAAGTATCTCTCTACCGCTACTTATTATAAACACCCTACACTCGCCTACCCAATTTAGACAATTCACCATAGCTGTTACCATGGGGATTTTGATTTCAATTTTAAAACAAGTAAATTTCAGATATACGTTATTCCAACAAAAAGTTCGCTTGAAGATGGAACGGAGCCCATTTTACTTTCAACTCAATTTAATTTAAAGGATTATATTGAAGTTTTCGGCTCTTGTTTTGAAACATGAGACCTCTTATGTAGCGATTTGGAATCATATTTTTAAATAAATAATTATATGTATATATATATATATATATATATATATATATATATATATATATATATATATATATAATAAAGTAATGAGGGGCTTGATAATCCGTGTGAATAATTACAAAGAGGATGTAATCCAGAGAGAACAATGTAAAACTAGGACAAATATTAATTAAGTAATTAAGAAATAGACAATCTTAAGTTTCCATGACTACAATTTATTTAGCCTGGTTCATCATATATATATATATATATATATATATATATATGAGTGAATAGTTTGAAGAAAAAAGAGAGACAGCTAAAGAGTAAAACTTTTCAAACAATATTAGCAGAAAATTGTACGAATTAAACAGAAGGAAGGAGGGAGGGAGGGAGGAAAGGAAGGAAGGAAGGAAGGAAAAAGCAAAGAAGATACATATATAGGGAGTAGTTTGAGGAAAAACGCAGAACAATGGAAGACTGCAAAGAGGCAAATTTATCAATTATTTGTGCCTAATATGCAGAAGAAAGAAAGAAAGAAAAAAAAGAAAGAAAGAAAGAAAGATATGTTTTCTACGGCTTTTCCATCAATTTGCAGGCTATTTAAATCCAGAAAATATTTTTGATTGTAAGAATTTGAGGGATGCACAGAATAATAATGATTTAATGATAAAAGTCTTAATAATTAACCCATAACATAGACGAGTATAGGTGGATTCATACCTTTCCCAAGGCTATTCGTGTGGAAGTGAATATAACGAATCCAACTGGAATTGAAACTCGGATCTCTGATTGTCCAAGCTTACAGAACCTGGCATTCTCACGCGGTCATCCATCAAAGTACTGATCAGGATAGACGTTGCTTAACTACGGTCAACGTACGGGAACCTGTGTTTCAATCTGATGTGGCCTTAAGCCTAAGAAATAAAGAGAGAGTGAGTAAAAGTAAGAGTGAGATTGAAAGAGAAATAGATAGTAGTTATAGGACGAATGGGCGTTTGTGACATAGTTACAATTCTAATATAAGTATAATGGGTAAATTGTATGGAAGACACCTAAGAAAAAAAAAAGAATGAAAAATAAAAAGAATGAAAAATTAAAGGAAAATGAAAGAAAAAATAAGTAAAAAAAAAAAAAAAAAGTGAAAAAGAAAAAAATTGTTATATACTAAAGGGTATATCCCAATCCTCATAAATACGTTGGAGACTATTGTTAGTGGGAGTAATATGGTGTCTATGTAGTCCACCTCTAGCAGTGGTTTACCTATTTCACGCAGCTGGCGAGTATTGTATTTTGTTGATGTTAAAGATTACCATTCTATTTCCAACCTCTGTTTTGGTTATTCCTCATTCAGTAACCTCTTTTAAATCACAACAGAAAGAAATAAACAAACAAATAATAACGAGTCAAAAAAGAAAGAAAGAAAAATGATAGCGAAAAAAAGAAGAGAAGAAAGAAAAAAGAAAGAAAGAAAAAAAAGAGAAAAATAAATAAAGGGAGTATTATACGGAGCAATTTGAGGGAGAAAGATAAACGAATGTACACCGAACACAAAATGATATTTATTCAATCAGTTATGCATCATGCGTGATACACGGATAGGCGATCATGCATCTTTCGATACATGACTGGCGAGGCAGATTTTTTCCCGCGCTAGGTTGCCATTTTTTTCTGCGGTAAACCAATTGCCATCCAAGGCTATAGAACTCGTTTTGCCTTGCTATTTACCCATAGCTGGGGGGAGAAGAAGAGGATTCATACCTTTCTTAAAGGTATTAGCACCTAAGTAACTGTAATGGATTCGACTGGAATGCGCACTCGACTCTATTAAGTCGAGAGGACAATAAAAGAATAAGAATTAAAAAGATTATTGACATTGCATTTAAATCTTTGAAGATCAAGTTGACTGGAAAGCAAAAAGCCGAAAGAGAGTTCCACAAGCGAGAAGTGCGAAAAAAGAAACTGTCAGCATAGAACTTACGGTTAAATCTATCCATTTCAACTGTAAAATGTTGAGAATTTGCCGCCAATCTTGTACTGCGTTTAATTTGTATATACAATGGAATACTGAAAAGTCTTCGGCTCGGCCTGCAGTAATATTACTTAAATTTTAGTTTAATTTTTAAACCCGTGAACTCGTATTTCTATAACTAAGTGACGCCATTGCACGGTGTGTTTCAGTTTTTGTGGTCAATATGTTTTGAAATGACTCTTAATTCTACAAACCATAACGATATTCGAAAATTGTTTCAGGATTTCTTGGACGCAAAAGGAATCACCCAATTTCCTTGTAGATAGCAAACGAAACGACTTACATTAGTAATGCAAGTTGATTAAATATGAGAAGGGGATTATAAAACAATACCAAGTCAAGCAAAAGTGCAAAAATTAACAACAGCCTATTTCCCATATATATATATATATATATATATATATATATATATATATGTGTGTGTGTGTGTGTGTGTGTGTGTGTGTAAGCAAATATATGGATATAGATCCGACAGTATGAAGAAAAAATATATACGGAAAAAAACAAACAAAAATCGTTATATACAATTATGCTGTTTTAATGTTAATATGTCAACGTCGGACGTTTCGGACTAATAAACCATCTTCAGGACATATTCATAAATATATATATATATATATATATATATATATATATATATATATATATATATATAGGGTGAATGAAAAATAACTCCCCATTTTAAAATACTAATAATTTATTTATTAACTATAATTCTCACAAGAAATGAATATACGAGAAAAGCGTTTAGCATCAGATTTTATGTAAAATTCGATATGGTCACCAGATACCGCTACCAACTTCTCCAGCCGCTCAGAATCACGTCAATTAATTTCACCAAGAACTCTTGTGGTATGGACATAACTTCTTGTTTTCGCCTTTCAATTTCTTCTAAAGTCTTGGTTTGGTATAGCAGACTTGCTCCTTTAACAATCCACAAGGAAAAAGTCATAGCATAAAACAGAGGGTTACTTTTCAATCACACTGTATATATATATATATATATATATATATATATATATATATATATATATATATATATATATAAGTAAGATTTGTATACTTTTATATATCAACAAACAGTATTTAGAAAAATATCACAAACTGGAAAATTTATTCTGAGGCGTTTCATCCGTTAGGATTTCATCGGACTGAAATATATATATATATATATATATATATATATATATATATATATATATATATATATATATTTGAAATTTATTCAACTCACCATTCTTCAGGCACTTTACTCCAATTGGCTCATTCGCTTGCTTAAACTCAACGTTGATTCTGATTCCGCAGAACTGGGTTGGGTGTGAAAAAGTATTTGTTGTTAACATTCTTTTTTCATTCGGTTTTTCCAGTTACGAGTCCTTTTTTAAAGCTGATCGTTTTGTGTTCATTTTGTTTAGTTCTTTTTCGTAACAGATGTAATGTTTAGTATAGTGCTTAGAAAAAATTCGCAGTGTGAGATAGGCAAGAAGTAAGGCATGTAGCAACATCAGCACGGCAAAGGGCACTCCTTTAAAGGCAAGGAAGGGCAAAAATATTTTAAGTCAAGTGGTAGCGATTGCTATATGAGTCGTACGTTTTTTGAATCAAGCACGGGCAACGCCGGGCTATGCTGCTAATTACGCTATAAGACCGTATTTATTACGGTATAAGTCATATTTATTACGGTATAAGATCTTATTTATTTACCGTATGAGACCGTAATAAATGTTAACATTAATGGTCATATTAACCGTTTCCATATAAGGGAATATTTGGCATTCATTTGCAGAGCTCCCCGTGCTGCAGTCAGATAAATTTTACGAAATCTTTTTATTAAAACAATTTTTCAAGAAAATAGCTTTCTTAAATCCAGTAGTTTTTATCGCTCTTTTCAGTATCCCTACGGCTGAGTGGGTGCAGAATCATTTCTAAATTTTGAATCAAATAGTGTAGAACGTCAGCATTCATGTTAATGTTATCATTTCCTCTTCGGTTTGTATGTGATATCATGCTTTTCAGCCTGTTGGAAGTCCTCCACTGTTGTCTCTGTTTCTTAAGAAATCTGGAGAATATTCTGACCCCACTAACTACCGCCCTATCAATCTCCTACCGCTTTTTGGCAAAGTCTTCGAAGCTTTAATCAATGCCTAAGTAGTTAAGCATCTTACCTCTCACGATCTACTCTGACAAACAATATAGATTCCGTTTTGTTCGGTCTACCTCTGATGAGCTTACAGCCAGAACTGAATATGTATATCAAGCTCTTGATAATAACAGCGAAGCTCAAGCCGTGGCTGTAGATATCTCGAAGGCGTTTGACAGTGTTTGCCAGCTGGTCTTCTACGTAAGTTTCATGGTTTTGATATTACAGGACGATTATTTGGTTTAATCCAATCGTTCTTATCAAATCGTGAAATGAACGTCGTCCTGAACGGGTTCTCTTCTAATTCCATCCATGCGAACGCAGGAGCTCCTGTGATCTTCACTGTTTCTGATCTTCATCAATACTCTCCCTTATGTTATCAGTTCTCAAGTTGTCATCTATGCAGACGACGCTACCATTTAACTATTGTCTCAGTACTAAATCCAGCTTCGCTGACAAAGTTAACCTAACCCCTGCTCTTGGAAATGATTTTCAATCAGTGGTTAACTGGCGCAGTAAAAAGCTTGTAAACATTAATTTCTCCAAAACTAAGTTGCACTTCTTTAGCCGCCACTGAGAAACTTCCCTGCTCCACCACCCCATGGTTGATGCTCGACGTTGTGAGAGTGTCTCACTGTACCTTCTTGGCCTCACGTTTTCCAATGACTTGACGTGGAACAACTACATTGAATCAATAGCTGCATCTTTTGCAAGGTAAGTCGCTTCACTGTGTCGTGCCAGAAGGTTTTTCTTGTCAGAGTCCATCTTACACATCTAAAAATCTACCATTCCTCATGCATTGAATGTAGTTTAGTTTTTCCTTCCGCTCATGCTGTGAGGCGTCGCAAGGAGGCACATTCGTCTGTCAGCGGCAAGGTGGGGGGACTGGAGGAGAGATATCTCGTGGGCTCTGAGACTGTCTGCCACTGAGTCGCTCCAGCGTCTTCTTGGTCTGCCTTTCGCTCCCCAGCCAGAGTATCTGAAGTTGTACGCACGTAGGGCTGGTTGGTTGATAGGCGTACGAGTCAGGTGTCAGAATCACTTGATCCTCTGTCGTTCGATGTGTTGTATGATTGGCATTGCTCAAAACATGTCTCTTATTACCCCATTCCTGATCTTATCTCGCCTGGTCTTGATCACTGCTTTCCCCAGGAATTTCCCGATGCCCAACCTCTCATCCTCGTCGTGGGGGGTGGAAAATGTAATGCTCGCCAACGAGGCACTGGTGAATCTGTGCCTGGCTTATCAGTCCGAGAGTGGATAAAAATTACTCAAAGAAACAAAAGGAGATGCACTGAATATTGTTGCTACATCTGGTTTGGTGTCCCTGCCATTTTCTGTTGCCGTGATTCCCATTCTTCTTCTATCCTTTCATAAACCCCCTCTATAAACAGTCTTTTCTCTCACTTTCACTCCCTGTCACCCCCCCGTGTGATGGTGGCTCTCCTTCCTTGCTCGAGGTGAAATGCTTAAAAAGAAAGTGATGTGGCTTCTTTTATTTTATATAATTCTTAGCGACTTTGTAGCACCACTCCACCAGGCTCAAAAGCTTTATTCGCCAGAAGCCATAATTAATATAATGTTCATTAGTACTTTCACCATAATGGAACCAACTGAAATACCTGCGTATATGTTAGGGTCTTGATGACTACCTTTTTGCTTCCATGGTGCATTTAGGCTTCATGTACCCGATATATATGCTTTTCTAATTTCGGACTTTCTTCATAAAACTGTGAAAC